TTTATAATAGCAAATTAATATATATAGTTATACAGTATATTTTATTTTTTTTTCAATTTTATATAAAATGTATTATATTTATTATATTATAATCAATAAAGATATAAAGAAGATTTTACTTAGTATTAAATAATAATAATAATTTTAATTAAAGAAAAATTATAATATGTATAGAATATAATTATTATTTGGTTTAAATATTTGTAATTAATTTAATATTAATAGAATTGAAGATAAGATAAGATTATTTAAAATAAAAATTTGAGAAAATTTTATTTAAATTATTATATTAAATTAATAGTTTATACATAAATTATATAATTTTATTTATTTATTAATTAATTTTTATTTATATTTAAATATATAATATTTTAAATAAAAATAAACTATTTTAAAAAATAATCCAAAAGAATTAAAATAATAATAATAATAATAATAATAAAATAATAATAATAATAATAATAAATTTTTTATTTAAAAATTTTAATATCTTAATTAATTGTAAATTAAAAAAATATTATACTATATTTATTATTAATTAATTTTCAAGTTTATTGTATTTAAATTTATAAAGATATAGAATTTCATATGTTATTTTTGATATTATAAAAGAAAAAGCTTAAAAATTCAAAAATTTAAAAATTAAAAATTATTTAAAAAAAAATCTATATATTAAATTAAAATATTTTTAAATTTATTGAATTAAAATTTATAGAATTATAAAATTTTAAATAAAAATTTTTAAATAAAAATAAACCATTTTAAAACATATATATTAAAAGCTTTATTTTAATTAAATTATTATTTATTAAAATATAGTAAAAATATTTGTTTAATTATTTTTGATTTATACTGTATATAAAATTTATTTAATAATTGTTATTTGTTTTGCAGATTAAAAATCAATATTATTAAATACATATATATAGTGTATAGATTTTATTATTATAAAAGCAAAAAAAAAATTTTAACAATATTTGCTTTTTTGAATTGATAAAAAAAATACTAATTAAATATTAATATATCATTTCTTTTATTATAAATAATATATCTTAAAAGGTTTGATTTAATTGAAATCATTGTTTATCAAATTATAAGAAAAATTCAATTCTGATTTTTTCTGGATCAGATTGTATGTTGTTGTTTTTAAATTAAATAATCTCAAGATATTTTTTAAATAAATAAATATATGCAGTATATACACAAAATAAATAAACAAATATTATTTATTTATTTATCTTTATAATTTTTCATATTTTATTGTATTTTTTTTTTTAAAAAAATATATACTGTATATGGGTAATTATTATTGAAGGCATCAAAAAAATGCTAGATAAGATTTTTTCGGACCCAACTTTTAGACAATACATATATAGTATAAATTTCAGGATCCCATCAGAAAATTTCCGGTCCGCCTTCGAAAATAATTACCCATATACAGTATATACTGTATGTATTGACAAATATATTCTTGCGACGCTTTGTGATAAAAATTGTCCGCACGCACCTTGTATTTCAGATTGTTTACGTGCTTAGTTTTTAATAGAAAGCTTTGAACAATTCAACGTCCCCGTTAATGATCATGGGAATTATTGTAATATGTTAATAAAATAATTGAGTCCAGGATCAATTAAAAAAATAAAAATAATGATCGATGTTACTACTGTATATTGTATTTCTTAAGGTTTTTTTTCATGCTAACAGTAACATATGATGCATCGATGTGGATTCGAAAATTTTTTTTGGAATTTACGCATTGTGCAACACTGCTCCACATTGTGATATGAAATTACTGAATTTGAATTTTCACAACGGCATTTCCTTTTCGGGAATATACTGCGGTCAGAAAAATCATAGTCCCAAAATTGTCATACACGTAGGCCCACTTTCCACATGATGGCGAAAACAAAGAAATAGCATGCTTTCTTCCCGCGAATGATACCTGCAGCTTATATCCAGGAGTTCACCACACTTTGAACTTTGCTTAGCATAGCAATGCCAATTGGTTTACTAGTTTTATTTGCAGTCGGCCGATTCAATCCATCCGATGATCTTGATATATCAACACTCTCGATGTGCGTCTTATGAACTTGTTGTGTCAAGAATTAACCGCATTTAGCAGAATACCAATTGATGAGATCCAAACAAGTTTTCAACACTCATAAAATTAAAGAGATCTAATAAAATAATAAATAAACAATAACAATAATAATAATAATAATAATAATAATAATAATAGTAATAATAATAATAAATAATAATGATGATAATAATGATAATAATAATGGTAAGTCTCTTTCAAGCCACCATCTTTTAATCATCTGAATTCTATATAGTGTACGTATGTATTTAAAGAAGGTACTTGGGTGACAATAATAAGAATATATTAACTTGTTTATAGTTTATGGCAATTTACGATGGAGATCTGTGAGCGATGCTCGGATAGTCTCAGGTCGAGAACGGAAAAAACTAAAAAGAAACACAAGTCAATTAGCTACCGCTCACGTTTTTTGGGGGGGGCCAATCGTGAATAACATTGGCACGTGACAGATGTGATGAAAATTCCGATAATATCCCTTCGATTCACGATGACCAGGAAGACCGCATTCATCTGAAACCTTATGTAAGATTTGGATAACTTTGGCATTGAAGGTGATAAAGATGGTAGGTGTCATGACTTTGTGATCTCTTTTTACGCCAAATCCAGATGTTCACAGATAACAGAAGAATCCAAAGAATCAATCGCTAAATTCACAAAGAATCCAAATAAATATTTACGTATATTAGGCGAATTCCAAAATAGTGACCATTCACAACACGTAATTGGTTTGAGGTTTTATGCGATGCGGGTTCAAACCATCTATTATTAATCCATACACTCAATAAGCAAAGCATTTCACTATTTGCGACAACGGGTGGATTTAACACGTGTGTTCCGTTTGTTGTCTGTGTAAGAACATTAACCGAAATTATAGCGGAATTACTATTTGATGAGGTGATACAGGTTTTCTTTCTTTCTTTTTTTTAATATCAAACGTCGCCTGAGGACACGTATGTGAATCAAATCAGGAGTGTCAACATTGGTTTCGTGTCGGTCGGGTCTGGGGTGGACAATTGTGATTGGTGAATATCAATGAGATGACGCGAAAGTCTTGGCTGACGGGTATATACCCGGTCATCCTTTCCCTTCGCTTCATCAACATTTTTAACTACGCGTTTCTTGGAAAAAGGTCATGCGGATAAGGGTTGTTAATTGTTAATGACGGATAGATGGAAAATGTTACTGTAACACGCGTACATGCATCACAAACATACCCGCTGTTGTGTCACTTCATGCAAGCTCAGTATAATGAAAAAAAAATAATGCCACCAAAAATCTTTCACACCCGCTAGCTAAATTTTCCTTTGTTTTTGGCACAATAATTGATTTATTTATTTATTTTCCTAACACGTAATTGATGGATGTGTGCATCGAAAATCTTTTTGAACGCTTTTATTGGTAAATTAACTTCACAGCCACACTCGTTAACAATCTCATGGTACGGTAATATGTATTAATTGATAGATGGTTACCCAAGGTTATATTAACTTTTCACATATCAACGCCACAGATAATTTAGATTTAGTATGAACTTAGAAAACTCGAGTTTAATTTTAATGTACATGCGTCCACACGCATAAGCTCTTGCATAAGAATGTGAATAGAATGTGTCGCATGGAAAAAAAAAGGGAACATGGAACAGGAGGATTGTATACAACAAAGGCGTATCTAGAATATTAACAAAAAAAGAAAATTTTGTATCATTGACCGTATGGGGGTGTTCCTCGAAGTTATAATTAGTGTCAACGTGGTGTATAATTGAAATCTTGGCCACACGGTATCACGACATGAGCCACTTGCGTCAAGCCTCGTGCTTTTTTAATCGATGAATGAGGGTGGATGGTGTGATGAGGTGGGATTTCAAAAATGAATGGTGAATGGGTTTGCAATGTGAATCTGGAAAAACAAATCTTTTAATAGACGGGTAGATGGTTGTACACTAGTTGAGTATATTTGATCTCGTTAATATTACCAATAACGTTATTACACAATATTAACGGGAAACTTTTTTAAAGTAAGTCACAATAAATATAAATTTATCTTCTTCCCGCCAAGTAATGTGTTATTGTCACATTTTTTTGCTTTATGCACAGTGCAACCTGACGGGAAACCTGTGTCAAGCTCCTCACTTTCAAGTCTTTATCTTCTAAAAAAAAAAAAAAAAAAGATCAGTGATAAAAAATGTATATATATACAAACACCTTTTCACAAATTTTTCACTCAAGTTATTTTTACATCCGTTCCTAAGTCGGTCTGATCAAAGAATCTTAATTGAACAGACTCTTTTTCGTCTCCATCGTCACCACACAGGAAATAGAAAACAAACAAACCCCCCCTCTTTGGTCCTTTGAGAACAATTTTTATATATTAGCTTTTTTTTTTATATTATCATTAATAGTATATATATGTGCATATATAAATATATAATATACTATGTACATACTATATATGTAAAGTGGTCAAGTTATTCGTATATCTTCGTTTATTTCAATCACGTCTTTTTTTAGCGATTTATTGTCTTTTGTGTATTTCTCTTTTTTTCTATTCGCTCAACGCATACATACAATATATATATATAATATCTCTACTCTATATATTACTTTCTATCTCCGATTATCATTTTTTTTCTATCGTAAAAAAAATTTCGACTCCGTAAATTTCATATATAAACACATCACATCACAAACAACAAATATTAATTATCAAATTCGGTATCCTCGTTTTCATACACTCCATTTACAAATTTTCCCTTCTCCCGTAAGTCATCATCTTCATTTTTTAACTCGCTCGTGTTGGTTTTACCACATGCACTTAACAATGCATGGTCGTTATTGCTCCAGGAAAGAGGAAATGAATTTGAATGCTAACACAACCCATCATTCCACTATAGTGACAGACAATGAGCTATTCCACAGTTGTATGGATCGATGATCCATTGTTCATCAAACGTCAGCGTGTTCAGATGGCTTGTTCTTTTTGTCGCCAGAGGAAGATACGTTGCGATGGAAGAAGTCCATGTTCAAACTGTAAGAAATATTCCACGGATTGTAACTACGTGAAGATAGAAAAGTCAACCAGGGGAAAAACTTCCATCAGGCCTGTCGTCACCTCCTCTGTTGGTGAACAAATATCTTCTGCAAACATCATTCCCACCACCCAAAACGTGCAAAATTCTCACGGAAAACGTCCAATTATAGAGGATTCTTCAGAATCTCAGAGTTTACCCCCCGCCCGTCGTCACTGTGTCAATTCTTCGACTCTTTCCACTTCCGCTACCACTAGTGTCACCAACTCCATCTCCTCCACCTCATCTGCCTCCACCATCATCTCCGCTTCCACATCTTCTTCTCAGAGTAATATTCGTGAATTTTCTTTTCGTCTCTTTGTCTTGTGAAGTGATAAGGTTTTTGACTTTCTCTCTCTCCCCCCCTTTGATTCTCCAGCGACGGCTGCCTTGCAAGGTAGTTCGGTTTCTCGATCGGAACCAAAACTACCGTCCGTCGAAGATAGATACTTTTTGATGCCTGATAAAGACATTTTTGACCACTTGTTGTCACTCTATTGGGCTAACGTCCATCCGTACATTCCCGTCCTCAATAAATCCCATTTCCTACAACAACTTGAGAATCCACACGATCCTCCTTCACCTCTGTTGCTCAATGCCATGTTTGCTATCGCCGCGGAATTTTCTGATCGCCCTCATATAAGGAGTGACCTGGAAACTCATGAGAATGGTGGTTGGATATTCTTAGATAGAGCTCGCAATTTGATCGATCCATTTTTGGACGCCCCAAGGATGTCCACCATTGCTGCCCTCATCTTGATGTCAATATATCAACAGCACAATACCAGGCGTTCTGGAATTTCTCCTGGTTACTTTCGTAGGTGGATGTACATTGGAATTGCAATTCGTATGGCCCTGGAATTAGATTTGAACAGGGAACTTGATGATCCACATGTCGACCGTTCTCTCAAGGAACTAAGAAAAAGATTGTGGTGGTCTCTATTCATGGTGGATGTTTTGGTTGGTTGCGGGATTGGAAAATGCAGCAATCTTGAGGATGACGAGTATACAATTTCGGAACCAGACGAAAATGAATCGGTGGATGAACCAGAATTAAAGGTTAACGGTGCACTCAGGGAATTCATCTATCAGATAAAATTCACTCGGCTTCTTCACCAGCTGTTGAGACACAATTTTTCCTCCAAAGTGTCCAGTGCCTTTATCAATCATGACATCATCTCAAATTTCGAAGATCAGATTCGCGATTGGTTCATGTTCTTACAGATTCCTGGTCAAACCACCGAGTCTCTTGTCGAGAATGACTCCAATTACTCCACCATGATGCTACATCTGCATATGTTATATCACTCTTTCATCATCCTGCTGCATCGAAGATATATTCTTAACCAAAGTTCACTGTCGAAATGCGTTCAGGCTGCCCAAAAAGTTACTCCAATCGGCTCTTTGATACTTCGTAAATATTCTTCCCCTTTCAGAGGATTCCTCAATTGTTCAACTTGGTGTTTGTTGCAAGCCGGGATGATCCATGCACTGAACAAAGTCATAGGCAACGAAGCCCAAGATCGGGTGGCCGAAGAACATTACGAAAAGATTGTGCATCTCTTTCAAAAGCATTCACAAATCACGGCTCTGCAAGTGTTACAAGATTATGCAAACACCTGTAGTTCTCATCGATTGTCCGTGATGGAGGCTTGGTCTGCCGCTGCAACCGATGGCCGAGAAATATTTTCCTTGGTGAGCGGGAGTAAGGTTGGTAACAACTTTGACAACCATCACATCACCAACACCGTTTCTTCGGTACTATCGTCACCTCCCTTCGTTAAATCTTTTCTCCCACTTTCATCTTCACTTTCAATATTATCACCCCCAATAAATCGTTCGCCTTCTACCACTACCACTGCTTCTGCTGTTGACACTGAAAACAATCCGTACGAAATTTTAAAATTTTCCAATACGAATTCATTTCAGAACTTATCATATGCCAGCGCAGCCACCGCGCTTCACATGTCTCCGGTCACGAACTCCGGTGGATTCGAGATTTCTCATCTATCCCAAATCAATACCCCATTTCCGAGTCCACACAACGGTGCTGCCTCACCCATGTGTGGCGGTACCCCACATGAATCTCCAGACGTGGACCCTGGTCACTTTACAAATGTGACATCGCCTATGATCGATAGTGAGGGAACTTCTGTCCGTTCTCCTGATGATTTCAATTTTATTCCCTTTCTAGGCAAAGTCCAAGGGATCAACAACGAAGATTGGTTCAATAATAATCATCAATCTGGTCCCTCTTCTCAACACGGGACTTGGCAACAAAATTTGGGAAATAGCAATTACACGCGTTTCTCGTTGGCGTCACCGCACCCGGTCACGCCACCCTCCAAGTCGACGGTGGACCTTTTTGGTAAACACCAAAACACCGGTCACATCTCGTCTCCAATTAAAAAGTTAGGATCCCCCGTGGTCAGTTCCCCTCCCCACGCGTCAAGTTCAAACATATCGGTGTTCTACCCCGAAGGGATTCACACCCCGATCATACAACCTTCCCCCACCACCTCCCCTTTTCATTCTCCCACACAGCATGAGGTTGGTGCCGGAATGAGTTCCAACATTATCCCTTGCGATAAGACACCCAGTGTCGGTGCCACACCACCCGCCAACTATTCACATCTCACAAACGTCGGTTCTAACCGCCATGAAAGTGCGACAGGTTATTTTGTCGGTGGTGGTTTCAGTGGCTTGGGGATTTGCTCCAACTGAGCGAGGATCGGTCGATTTCTTTATACGGATGATTTTATATAGATATTTACATTACCAAAAAAAAAATTTTTTTCTTCTCTTTTTTTTTCTTCCTAAAAAAAATTTCCTTGTACATAGGCAACACTTTTTTTTCGTTCCCTTTCATTCCATCTTCTCAATAAGAATCCAATCTCTTTTACCACTTTTCCCTCATAAGACGAGAATCACTTTTGATTCACCGCTGGAGATGTTTTCGTGATTTGTGGATCGTGACATTTCTTTATTTCGTGTGTATAACCAAAATTTTTCCACACCCACCTCTTTTATGAACCCATTCTTGTAAAATCTTTTTTAATTAATAATCTCTTGTAATTAGTTAAGTGACGAATATTTTTTCTTTCGCGCGATGGGCTATTATAATTCGTTAGATTATACATCGTATTTATATTTTTTTTTCGAAGAGACTTTATGTAAAAAAAAAACAAAACCAACAACTGGACCACTCAAGGACAATCGGATATTTGATGCCACGGATGCTGTAGAGTTGTGATAGAAAAAAAAAAATTGCGGCGGCATTCAAATATTAATAATTTATTATTCCGTTGTAGAATTTTTTTCGACAAAACTTCTTATATTCATCTTTTCCATTACATGGTAAGGTTTTCAGCCGAGAATTCCCACGAAGAGCAAAAATGACTTTTTTTTTTTTGTGACGACAACATGATATTAAAAATTATATATTTTTCTTTCTAAAAAAATATATATACATATACATATATACATATACATATAAAATAATGATATCCTATCATCAGACAAATTGATTAAACGATAATTCGCATCTGCTTTTACATGTACAACAGAAATTTGTCAAACTATAGAGGCATACATAACTATGAAAACGACGTTTTATCGTATAAAAAAGATTTAAGCTTATTTTCATTTTAAGACAAAAAAAAACCGTAGAATTCAAAATCCTAAGTTTTCTTTACTATACACAATATGAATAAAAGATATGCAGTATACTCTCCCAATTCTCGTGATTTGTTTTTTTTCCATTTCTGGTAGTGACGCCAAACACCATTTCAAGACTTGAGACGACCCTCTGCATGGTGCAAGGCTGCTGCACTGTAAACATTGTGGTACCTGTGAAATTTATAACAATTGAACTGTTTCCAAAGAAATATTGTACCTCCGACACGAAGGATTCATTATCTCTAGGAATCTGCTCTGAAACAACAAGATAAGTTGCGCTATCTCTGGATCTCTGGGAATAAATCCATATTTTCTAGAATCTCATTGTGACGATGCTAAAGAAAATGCGGCACAGTATAACATCACGTTTTCTAATAAATGCATATATCGTATATATCTAGCCTATCTAGTATACAGTATGTGCATCTAGTTTAAATTAAAGTTAGGTTTATTAAACGAGCGAATTAAATGTTATTCTGTGTGCTCTCGCCACATTACAAAAAAATGATCACTATTCACAAGGTTTCATTCTTGGCTTGCATTATCATCATCAACACTGTTTTTCAACAACAGTATCGTTACCCATGGATTTGTGTAAGATGATCTGTCTAATTACAGTAAAAACATGACCTTTAATGAAAAACTCATTACACCTATCTTTAACATGCCTTTGATTTTGAGTTAATCAGCATAAAAAAAAAAATAATAATAATAATTCATGATTTTTTAAAACATTAAAAATTATCCTTACAATATTATTATTTGTCGTTAATTACTGTTGCTATTTTATTTTATTTTTATTATTTTTTTTTTTTTAAAAAAAAAAAAAGTAAATAAGCGTTGTTTCTTAATAAAATTCACGTTGACATACTCTCATTGTCGAAAATTCATTAAAACAATATGTGTATTTGTCGATCTACTGGTTGACTAAAAGATAAATGCAGTCAAATTCTTATTGGTATCTGAACGAGCATATGCCTTTGAGTTCTGACGGAAATTCCGTTTGTAACGGCGGAATTTTTGTTCTTGGTGTAATAGCATGGATGATTAGATTGCAGTATCTGACTTCATCGTCCCCATTGATGTCATCTTTGCCTTTGTCTGCTTTGTAAAACTCTAGAAGCATTTGCTTACAAACATTTGTAAAACATTCTTTTTAATTTCAATCATAATTAATAATTCTGCATGATAGTAAAACAATTGAAATTCCGAATTTCAATAGTGTGGGTTGACAGGCATATAAAATAAACAAACAACTCACTAATGCAATCCAGAGACCCAATCACCATCTGATCCGGTTAACCTCGAACATCCTGTTCATTTCTCTACCAAACTTCGACCCCTTAGTCAAAACACAAGTAACTTTCTCTTTTCCAAAAAAAGTCTCATCTAGACCATTTCTGTCAATGAATTATTAGCAACTTTCGTTCCACACTTGAGAAAAAAAAGTTACGGGTGTGGAACATATGACAACGCTTATAAATAAATATGGTATATTACGAGAATAATAGAAATTTATATACAATACTAATACCTATGTCACTAATACTACGTTACAATATGTGATGAATTTATAATAGTGTAAACGTACTTTACGGATGCGCCTTGTCTTCGGTTAAAAGATTTCTCGTCTTGATCGTCATGAACGTCCTGTGTGCGTCAACACTAGCAAATTCATTACTTTTCTAACCAACATCTTTCTGAGACGACCAATAAACTTGCTTCAACATCAAAAAAATCATTTCTTGGAGGGAGCATTTATGACTTTCCTCAGAATGACACATACCCTCATTTAAACTGTGAGCTCGGAATGGATATCAAACAATCAAGTCGATCGAAAATTAGCCCCCTTCTTACAAAATAAAGAACACGCGATTTTTCTCCCAATGACATGAAACTGTAATGGCATTCAATAAAACCCAAGGTAAGACCATTTTCTTGGTTTGTTAGTGGTCGAAGAGTTGGTTACGTGTCAAACAAATCTTTACTAAGGATTTCAAGCCTTGCTTACAGATATGTGCACAATAATTCCCGCGAGTTCAAACATTTAGAAGACCAATTGAATGAATATTAAGATGATTCGAACTGTAAGAAGATACAGTAAATATAAACAAGAAACAGTATGTGGTATACACGTCTGGTTTGGCTATGACTAATGAATATTAGTAAGCAAAATGCCAATCACGTGTAAAGTTGACACTGAACTTGATTTATGTGATATCTGAAAATTAATAAAAAAATATCACATCGAGCTATTATATTCTTATTTCTGAGAAAATTTAATTCGTGGATTTTTCCTGTTTGTTAAAAATGCATTTTTTTTAAAAAAAAATCGTATTTGAATAAATTTATGAAATGTACTTATTATTTGTTGAAAATTACTTTTTAATTGCAATGTTTAAAAATAATAAAAAAAAACAAATGTAATAATAATAATAATAATAATAATCTATTATAAAAATTATGAAACCATATATGATAAATTTAAAGTTTATCTATTATTATTATTATTTTGTAACATGTTTTAATTTTTTAAAAAAAACATGTGGAAATTAATATACTGTATTTCACTTATAACAAATATGTTTAAAATCAAAAAATGATCTTTAAAAAAAATAAATATAACAAATAATTCTTATATTTAAAAAAAATTAAAAAAATTTTTTTATTATTTTATATTAAAGTACTGTATATTAAGTTCATTTATATATATATAATTTAAATTAAAAATTTATTACTAATTTATTAATAAAAATTTTAATTAAACTTTTTATCTAATAAAAAATAACAATTGGTTAATCATATTTTAATAAATTTTTTTTAAAGGAGTTTCTCTATATGTAAACATCATTTCTTTATTTGATATTATATATAATAAAATATACATTGTAAAAGAAACAATATCTCTTATATATATAAGGTAACAAATTAAATACTAGCTTGCCTATATATACATATTTAATTAATATTAAAAAATAAATTCAAAACAATATTATATATTAGTTATATTTAAATAATGACTATGCCTATCTATTCAAAAAATTTTGTAAAGTTTTTTTATAAATTTATAAAAAAAATAAACATAACTAAAACTAAAATTAAGTAAAGTAAACTATAAAATCTATAAGTAAAAAACCAATTATTTTTTCAAGAGAATCTTTGAACAGGCTTGTTATTCCATTTCTCTGGCTCTTTGGTTATTATAAATAATAGAGTATATATGATATTGTTTATTGTTATAATTGTCAATAGTGATGTGATTGATGTTATTGTTATAATTATTATTATTGTAATATAAAATCAGTTTAAACAAATTCGGTTTTTGTTTTAATTTTTAAACAAAATCTAATTGAATGATTAAAAAGCATTGATTATTTGAAAGAGATAAATTGATTTTAATTTTTTGACTAGATAAAAATGTTGGAAAATTTGAGATAATGTAGCAAGTATTACTATAATAAAGTTGACTTTGAGAATTGACTTGAAACAAATAGTAAACCTACTAATTCTATTTGAATATATGTTTTAAAAAGTATTTTGTTTTTTTTTTATAATGGAACGTGCATATGGTGTGTGATTTTTATTGATATGTTTATATATCCAGACAGACATTAAGTGTCTTTACAAATTAACCAGAAATCGGTTGGTACAGGATACCCTTTTATGTCTTTATGATTAATTTGCAGATTAATATTTAAAAAAAAATATTTTGTTTAATAAGTATAATAATAATAATAATAATAATTTTTATAATAGAATAAAAATAAAAAAGAATATAAGAGAACAAAAGAAAAGAGAACTGTCATAGATCTTTTCTCATGTAATTAAAGAATAAGCAAGATTTCCAAACTTGTATAGATTTTGACCAGAGATTCCATCTTACTGCACCTGTTATCTTGAAGGTTCTTGAATTCCTGAGCTAAAGCTCACTTATAATAAAGAAAATAAAATATTTTTTTTTGCTTAAAATTATTATAAAAAGAAAATTTTTAACAAATGAACACAATCAGAAAAGAGTTTTTAAGTTTTAAAAAATTTTATTTAAT